GTTTCTGTATATATGTATAAATTTGCATGAGTGTGTACACATATAGATACAGATGCAGATGTACGTGTTTGTTTTTATGTATATAGATGTGGGTGTGGAGGGGGGTGTGTACACACACACCTAAGTATTTTCAAAGTGTAACCAGTTCATTTGCTAATTAACGAAGGCAATAAAGAATAAGTGCACTCGATAATGGAAAAGTGAAGAGGGGAACAGAGCCAGGAGAACACTGTGGGCAGTATCAGCAGCACTGTGCAATGATCAGCTACCTCAGATAATGCCTTATCTATTCCCAGCAATACGATGATCTAAGACAATTCCAAAGTACTCATCCACCTCCAGAGAAAGAACTGGTGGAGTATGAATGCAGACTGAAGCATACTATTCTCTCTTTTTTTTCATAGTTTTTTCCTTTTCTTCTGTTTCTCCTCATACAACACAACTAATATGGAAATATATTTTACATGATTGCATATAGAGAACCTTTATCAAATTGCTTAACATTTTCGGAAGGGGGAAGGAGAAAAATTTGGAACTTAATATTTTTTAAAAAATGAATGTTAAAAATTGGAAAAAAATAAAATACTATTAAAAAAGAAAGAAAAGAAAAGTGGAGGGGGGAAAGATTAAGTATATCTGCACAGTGGCCTAGGGGAGAAGCCACCTCAGTCCCACACACTAATTTCCAACAAGCAAATCCCCATGCTAAATGAGGGCCTCCCTAGGTAGCACCCAGTGACGGTTTTCCCAAAGTGACGTGTTGGCTTGTGCCTGAGCTGAAGGCTTTACCTCAGGAAGAAGCCAAGGCCTGAGGCCTAAGGTTACAGTAAGTTCACATTCAAACTCTAGAAAAACAAAGGAACCAAGCCAGGGAAAGATTTTAGGAGTCAGGCTCCAGAGAACATTTGAAGGGTCAGCTGAGGAGGATGTGCAGAAAAACACTGCGATCCCTGCCCATAATCAGCTTTCCAAGGGGATGAGCACTCCTGCTCCTCTAGCCAAAAATCTCCCATACACAGCCTGAAATCCCTTTACTGGAAGGAGGATGAAGCCTCCCAGACATGGGAAAGGAAGGTCCTGGGGGGTGTGTGTGGATTAACCGGTTAAGATGATAGACCCAGCCTGGATCCCACACCCTGAAGCCCTAAGACAGGGTGTCCAAGGTCAGAGTAAAGCAGCTTCTCCCACACCCCATGCTACAGGACACGCCCCCTCTTCTCTTCAGTCTCTCATCTGCCTGGCAAAGTAGCCTGGGAAAAGCGCAGGACGGGATGAGGCCCGGGGCAGGTGGTGCCAAGTGCCTTCGGTGGGCTGTGCAAGCCAAAAGCGTGGCAGCTCACATCATGGGCCTCTACACAGGCATGCATTTTATTCAGGTATTTGCTAATTAATATGCCAAAAGAACCCTCAGAATCCATCAGTGAAGAGATCAACGAACAAAAAGACTTCCCCCACAGCTTCAAAAAGAGCAGACTTCTGGTAACTGTTTCAGGGCTCCCAGCTTCCTCCTCTTCCTCACAGATGACGCCCCTGGCAGAATGCAAGCAGGGGCTCCTTTGCCTTTGTGACCGCAGCTCCAGCACTGTGGCTGGCACACAGTAGGCACCTAATAAATGCTACGAATGAAGAAAACTCCTTTCTGAGGCTGGCCAGCCAAGCCGAGGGACACGGGGGATGCCATCCTGGCCACCTCTGAGGACCACGGTGGCCCAGGAGGGGGCCTGCGCTAACCTTGTTAATCTCGTTGCTGTAATGATTCACTTCCTCCTTGAACTTGAGATCGACCATGTTAACGTCCCTCTGGTCTTTGCTGAGATGGGCATCCTGCCACTTGGTTTGCACGTCCTCGCATGACGCTGTGTCAGGGAGATTGAAGGCGGCCCTGACGGCCTGCAGTGAGAGAAGCGGATGGGTCAGTCCTACGGGTGTGCAGGGAAAGGGCAACTGGTGTGAATCCCCTGCCCTCCTAGAGCCCGCCTTACTCGGGAGCCGCAGTGAGAGGACTCTTCTATGACCGCCTGCCTCTTGGCATCTGCCCGGGGTCTCACCAGAATGTCTTCCACGCCTACAGGGTAAGGTGGACAAAGAGAGGGTGGGGGAGAGTGTAACTGAGGGGTTGGTCCAAGGGTGCAGGCACTGGGGACGCACACAAGCAGATGCAACAGCTCCTGCTCTCAAGGGACGCACCTTCTAATGTGGGAAGAAAACTGATAAAGGGGGGCAGGAGGCTAGGCCAGGGACCAAGATGGTGGCCAGGGAGAAGGCTGCCAAGGAGCCTGGCTCTAGACAAGATGAGGCAAGAGGCAGACTGCGGCAGCCCACCTCATGCCCATTCACAGATGGGACATCCCCTGTCCCCTTCTGAGGGAGATGGGCTTGCTGCTATGGAAGCAGGAGGGGTGCCAGGGCACGGGAGAAACCGTCAGGCCTCAAATAAGGTGAGCGGACCATTGACCACACATCATCCACTGCATTTCCTGCCTCCAATATAAACACTACCAATAAACCACACACAAGGTCTCCATTTCTGGCTCTGAGCTGAGAGGCAAACAAAACCTCTTGTGTGTGAAAAATTATATCTCAAATTGTTCAAAGAAATTCCTGGGAACCCAAAGGCCCCAAGTGAGTCAAAGTGTAAAGAAGTATCTCATTGGCTGGAGAAGATCTGGGTCCCTCTAATGAGGTCGGTGTTAGGTGACTTGGAACTGACTTTTTACAAACACTCTCTGAAGTCAACCAGGATGGCTGGAGAAGACCCCCACCCCGCACCCTCCTCCAACACACTTGAGCCCCGTCTCTGCTTCTTGGCCTCTCCCCATGTGGACAGACCAGCAGAACTAGAGTTCAAGTAGCCAACTCTCCTGAGCCACCCACCAACTAAAGATGAAGGGGCCAACCCAGGAACTGAACCACCCACTAACTATGAAGGCGCTGAGCCACCTGTCAACTATCGGTGAAGGGCCCACTTCTATAATCCAATCTGGGCCTCCGGGTGCACCAGGGCCCTTACCCAGGGTGAAGCCCTTGTAGAGCTGCAGGTAGGCCGTGAAGAGGCGAGCCAGGCACGTGAGGACTTGGCCGCTTGTCTCTCCGCCATAGACTTCGTAACAGCAGTGGACCAGGCCGTAGGCAGAGCTGCCATAGTGGGCTTTGTCCAAGACCCCACAGAGCAGCTCCCCTTCTCTGATGATGACCTACGAGGAAGAAGGGGTGGGACAGCAAGGAACCTGCTGGTGACAATGCACCATATTGCAGGCAACTCACAAAATGGAGGAAGACTCCCTCTACCAACTCAGATGGGCACCAGCTCCACAACATGGTCTTTGAACTAGAGTGGCCCAGGCACCAAGAGATTCACTAATGCCAGTATGTGTCAGAGGAAGGCCTTAAAGCTGGGTCTTCCCAATGCCAAGGCCACCTCTCTACCCACGATGCCACAGTTACCTCCTAACCTCTCCTACGTATCTCACCTTCCCACTCCCCAGCACAGGCTTATGCAGATGCATGCGCGTGTGCGTGCGTGCGCGCGCGCACACACACACACACACACACACCGCCTTCCCCTCCAATAACTGTCACGTATATCTTCTATGTATTTAGAGGCATACATGTTGTCTCCCCAGAGAGAATAAAAGCCTCATGGCTTTTGAGCCCAAACTCTCCTTTTCCCCTCAGGAATCACTGCCTGGTTTTGTGCTTGTCTTCAGCCTATTCTCTTTTATTTCTCATCAACCTGCTCCAAACGAGGCCGTGCCTCTAGACCTGGAGAAATAACATCAGCCACAAACATACCTGGGACTCGCACATAGCATCCAGGCCACCTGCTGGTGCACCTCGGGCACTCTGCTTGATCCAGGCTTTCCCGCTGATTTTTGCCTTCCCAATCAAATTCAAGGGGATGTGGTTCTCTGGGATTATGTTTATTAGCAACGTAGAGACAACCTGTAAAGAAGCAAAGACAGCACAAATGCATGAGGAAGTTCTGAGGCCCCTTTCCCATCTGTCGCGGGCAGAGAGGAACAGGAAACAAAGGGAAAATTAGAACGTAAGGCTCTTGGAATGGCCTCACTCCTGCGTGGCCCCCAGTGTCCTCCACAGGAAAGCCTTCACTCCCAGCACTCTCCGTACACTCAGCCGGGCTCACTTCTCCTCGAAGTCCCACTCCAAAACACAAGTTTGGGAGACAGAACAAAAACAGAAAGAGGATGTGTCACGAAACACGGCACAAGAGAGGCCAAAGGCCTGTGGAAGTCTCACGTCTACACGTTACGAATACCTCCTTTGAAAAAAAGACTGGTAGCCACTAGACGTGGGAACACCAAAACCACAACAAAACCTGAAACTGTTTCTGTTTTAACAGACAGGAAACGGGTTGTCAGTGATTCGGGAGTCTTTCCCGAACCAGTTGTCTATGTACAGTCAAGAACATGGACTTGTCAGAGCAAGGACCAAAGTTAATAAGAAACTAGAAGAATGGGAATGAGAAAAAGACATGACAAGCAATTAAGCTCCAAAGGAACCTATTTAAATGATGTTTTGATGCCTGCCCCATGGGAAAGAGGACAGACACTGGCACTTTAACTATTTCTTAAAGAAATTTTAAAACAGCTAGGAAAGCAGGAAATCAGTCTGGCAGAAATTAGGTTTGGCCAACATCTTGCACCATCAAGAATGTTTCAGATGGACATAGGACCTAGTTAAATGGTCATCTCGTAAACACATTTAAAAAGCAGGAAAAGAGATAATTTTTACAATTATGAATATGAAAAAGGCTTCTGATCAAACAAGGGATGGAAAGGATCATAGGAAATAAAATGCATAATTTTAAATAGAATTTAAAAGAGAAAGGTTTTTGTACAAACAAAATCAATAGTTAGAATGAAAAAGTAAACAGTTAGGTTAAAAAAAAGCCTCAATTTCTCTGACAAATGTCTATTATCTTAGGCATACGGGGCATTAATACAAATATATTAGAACAAGAGCCATTCCTTGAGCAGTCCTCAAAAGAAGAAACCATTAAAAAATGTTCTAAATCATTAATAAGAGAATAAGAGAAACAAAGAGTATAAGAACCCCTCACATTCATTAGATCATCAAACGTCTGATAATAAAAGGAAAAGAACAACAATGACTGTAGGGGCTGCAGAAAGAGAGAAGACCCAGAACTGCACTTCAGGGAAGTAATAAAGTGGCCGAACCATTCTGGACAGGACCTGGAAGGTACTAACAGACCCGAAAGGTACCACACTGTGCACACACCCCTTGACTCAGTGATACCACTACAAAAAGGTCAAAGAAGGAGGGAAAGGACACACAGGTACAAAAATACTGATAGCAACTACTTTGTTTTAATGAAGATAGAACGAAAGTGGATGCCTATCAATTGGGCAGAGGACTGGCTAAACAAATTATGGCATATAAATATAGTGGAACATTCCAGTGGCATATGAAATGATGCAAGGGGCAGATTCAAATAAAACTGGGAAGGCTTAGAGGAGATACAGGATGAAGGAAGCAGAGCCAGAACTACTCAGAGAAGTACAGCTTTATAAAGGACAAATGGTGAAAGACCTAAGAATGATGACAGATGCTCCAGAGAAGTGAGGGGATGGACTCGAGGTGCATTTCTGATATAGCAGGTACGCAGATTTGGCTGTTGTGACTGTGCGTGTGGTGATGGAAGGTGAAAGGGGAAAGGCGATAATGAGAAAATAAGAAGAGGAAGAAAAGATCATCAGTGAAGTATTAAAAAATGAGCAGAAAGAAGTTACTTTAAACTACACTCCCCCCACAACTCCGACAAGCTTCACGAGGATCAGTGAAGCCACAGAGGGGAGATTTATAGCGGCCTATGTAGTCCTCTCTATCTATTTTTTCTGGTATGAGGAAACGTTGATGTTTGCTGATATTTATCAGGTTCATAATGATAAAAAAGAAATTAAAAAATAAATGTAATCAATATAAATCCACTTCAATAAGGTGACCCCAAGAGTCCATACACAACTTTAGTTTGCTTTTCTAGCCATATGGAAAGACATGGCAGCTAGGGGCCACAAACATTTAGAATTTAAACTCCTTTTAAAAATCTGATGGAGGACAGTGGAAGATCATCGAAAGTACTGATTCCTAGGACAGTGAGAAGCAGTTAAAGGGAAAACACCCCCACTGAGCCACATCTTCCTGAGGGTGCTTGTGATGAGATCAGGAAGAAAACAAACAAACAAAAAACAGAAAAAAGCATCTACAAACGCTTGTATAACTTATTTTTTTGCCACCATCAAGGACAGTGGGGCCCACACACTAACATCAGTCTCAGGTGTTGTGCACTCCACCCCTTTGGTCCCTTCCTCTGACTTGGAGTTAGCGGTCACAAGGCACAGGGAGAGATAGAATGATCAAAGATTACGATTGATAAAAAAAATTTCCAAGCTCATGCAAGTGGAAGTCTAACACACACAATGGTGGGATCAAGGTGAACTTGAAGAGAGGAGGTCATGGGAATGGTAGCGAGAGGAACCAGGAAAATCTTGTAGGATATTTGAGGGAATATCAGTACGGGTGGTGAAGTCCCCTAGTACAAGAGCAGGAGACGAGGAGGAGAGGAAGCCTAGGAGCCAGGCCCTGGGCTTGCTGAGGAAGGAGGAAAAGAAGCATCGGGGGGTAGCTGGATGACTGCCACCAAGATCTGGACTGGGTGACAGGTTTGGTGATCCTGAACCTTGGAGGAGCAGAAGTTGCTGAGGAGAGACTGGGGGTGACAACCAAGACCAGTGACTTGGGACTGTAAGCAGTCCCAGGAAGGGTGGCTCAGGGTGAACAACCATCCAGACTCTGGATTCCAGAGTCAGCCAGGGAGGGCCTCAGATGGAAGATGAAGAGAAGAGGAGGTCTAAAATAAAAGGAAGGCTGCCAATGATGCAGCAGGAGCTGCAGAGGCCTGGGGAAGAGGAGGCTGGGGAGGCGGGAGAGCCCAGCCGAGCCTGGGGAAGGCAGGTTAGAGGGTTCAAAGTCATCCCTTCAGGACGTGCTGTTTCACCTTGTGAGGCTTTGGGAAGGTGAGTTGTCCCAGGCCCCACCAGGCACCTGGACAAGCTGTGTGTACACATGGCTCAGGGGAGCCTACAAAAGCAATGGAGAAGCAGCAGAGGGCGGGTCCAGCCTGCCTTCCAGCAGACCCCCAGGGGCCTGGCCCCTCACCCATGTGGCCCAGCGAACGCTCCAGATAGGAGCATCCCAGAAGGAGCCAGGAGGCAGCATGTCTGGAAGAGTGCAGAGCCTCCTAAACGAGATCTCAGAAGACTTTCACCTGAGTTATATCCACACAGGGGAAAAAACCAAGAGGACCGAGCCTGCCCACCGCCCAGACATGCAAACGACCTCAACTCACAGAGCTCAATTATTAGTCACAATAAAGCTGCCCCAAAGTTTACAATAACACTGTGAGGCAGGTATTACTGGTGCTATGAACCCCATTTTACAAATGAGGAAGCTGAGGGCCAGAGGCTGACCTGCCCCATCACAGATGCAGTAACTGGTAGGTCCCCTGACTCCAGCTCTGTACTGCACTCATTACCAAGAAAATGAGGGCACTGATCCAGATGAGGGGTTCTTACTGTGGAGTCAGTGAATAGGTTTCAGGGGGTCCACAAACTTGGATGGCAAAAAATAGTACACCTTTTTTTCATTAACCTTTAGCATTTCTAGGCCAAGATGGTGGAGGGAAAGCAGTGACTGTCTTGAGCTCTCCCCCAAAGCCCTCCAAATACCTAAACAAATGGCTCTAAACAAATTCTAAAGCAGCAGAACCCACAAAAAGACAGAGTAAACAAATTTCCAGCCAAATACAGCCGGCATGGTTGATCAGAAAGGTATATCGCGCCGGGCGGAGAGAGGAGATCAGTTCGGCGTGGGCATGCAGGCCGCAGCAACCCTGGAGCAGGCCTCAGAGGACTGAATTGCGGGCAGCTGTGGTGGTTTCCAGACTTCTCAACCCAGGAACACCAAAGACAACATGGAAGGTCAGTGGGAAAAGTCTGTGACTGCGATGAAAGAGGAGCTAGGTCTCAGCTTCAAGTCTCAAGCTCGGCCTGGGGCCACAGCTTTTTCCTGAACTTCCAGCCCACAGAGTGAGGGGGAATCAAGTGGCTGATCAAAGGGGGACTGCAGGGATCTCTTTGCCAGTGCTGAGGCAGGAATCTCTTGCTTTGCCCATGGTTGGATGTGGGTCACAGTTCTGAGGGGCGGTCCAGGGGTGAGGAGGAATGCTGGTGTGGTGGAGCTTGCTGTGGCTGTGGAGAGAAAACCTTTAGCATTTCTACTATGACTGTAGACAACAAACATGATTTGGAGGTGTCCAGAGGCTTCACCAAACTGCCAAACAGATCAATGACACAAAAAACAATTAAGAACCCCTGGCCTTGATGGTCAATAAGGTCCCTTCCCCAACTATAGCCTATTATTCTAAGAGATAGGCAGCAACTCCTTTCAGAAGGAACCAGACAGAAAACAGCCAAAGCAGAGAATTCTGTTTTATTGTTACAGTCTTTAAATACACCCAGAGGACAGAACGGCCCAGTGTTCCTTAGTCATACTGAAGAAAGCTTTTATTTCCCAAAGAGCCACAGAACAAGAAAGGAAATGGAGAGGGGCACAGGAACCTCCGAACCATTCTGAGTGGGGAGCTCTGAGAGGTCCGGCTAGAGCCAGAAGCTGCTCACAAATCCCTGTGAGGCCAGGTGTATTCTGTAAGGCTATATTCCACTGAAACACCTGGGGGCTGTGATGGATAGCCACAACAAATCGGGGGAAAGGCACCCACTCATTCAGACTTCCCTGAGAGATCGGAGGCGCTCTCGCTGTAGTCCTGCACTCTGGAAAGGACTGGGGAGCAGGTCAGGACAAGGCCCAAGAAGCCCCAGCTTAGAATGGGCTTATGAAGCAGACAAGTGACACAGGGCCAGAAAGATGGGCAGCAAAGGCCCTAAATGCCAGGCCGAGAGTTGGCCCCTTACCCCAAGGGCAAGAGAGAGCCACCTGGGGTAATCTGACCAGAGGGAGGGACAGGATCAGAAATGTTTATTAGGAAAATGACCTGGACAGTAGCGAGAACAGACTGGAAACAGGTGGAAAACGTACAGAACAGACCGGGAAATGGGAGTGAAAGGGAGATAAGCAATGTGAGAGACAACTGACTGACTGCGGGAGGAGGCAGGAAGAGTTGAATTCTCCCCCCTTTCAATGGGGGTGGGGGGTTGTTAGACTGGCTGAGTTTGTGCTGGTCCGTGCCTGCCCAGAAGTGATCCCGAGCAGTGAGAGGCAGAGGAGGAAGGAGGGAGGATGGGTAGGGATCAATGCAATGAGGACAAGCAGCGCTTCAATGACCAGATCCCCATGGAGGAAGCCCCACAAGTGGGGTGGGGGGGCACAGGGGCCCCTCCCCGGGGGAAGGCTTCTCAAGGACCCCGCCTCCCCAGTTCCCAGCACACTGCCTGACCCAAAGCAGGCCCTTAACAGAGGCTGACCGGAGGAACTCGAGCACACTGGGAGGCAGAACAACATGGCAGGAAGGAGCCCAGACAGGGTGGTTAATCACTGGCATGAAATGACCACCCAACCACCACCACATGAACATGATGGCCTCTCTCAGGGCAAAGCTTCCGACTCGGACTCCGATTTCCTCCCTCCTCCCACCTCTTCCTAGGGAGGTTAGCAGGCCAGCTCCCTGAGGGCAGGCAACGCTCTCAGACAACAGCTATAGATGAACGGTGATCTGCATCAGTGGGGGAAGTTTCCACACTGGGAGTGGAGGACAGACCAAGCAAAGAATGTCTCAGAAGCAGAGCTGCAGGGACAGGCTCTGGAAGCACAAACGGAGGCAGGGCTGACTAGTGGCAGTGGCTCTACCCACTCACTCATGCCTAGGAACGAGGCGGCCCACAAGCACCCCGTACATGCCGGAGAACGGAGTACTATCCACCTTCCCAAGTGGAACATCCCGAGGTCCTGCCTGAACGCACGGTCTCACTCCAAGGTCGATCACTGGCCACTGAGGGGGCAGCAGCAGCTCCAGGACGTGGGACATTAAGCTGTGCTTCAGGGGAGGCAAAGGAAACCAGCCTGGCGGCTGACAGAGCTGGTGGCCCAGCCTGTGCTGGCCTTCCCAAGGTCAAGACCATTCGTTCCAGCCAGATCTGGCTGCACCAAAGAGACATCCGCTTCCAGGCCAAAGAGCAACGCTCTCCAGGCAGCTTTAAAAGGCAAGCCATCGTTCCTGGCACAGGTTTCCAGCCATTATAAATGATGACAAAGACCGATGACTTCCAGTGGGAAAAGAAGAGCTGGGGAAATAGTAAACAAACTTCCCAGGGTTGGAACCTGCCTTTTAAGCAGAATCCTGTTTCAGGACCCAGAAACTCCCCTATCTCCAAGGCCCAAGGGCAAAGGGCTTAACAAAGGCCTGGGCTGCAAAGCCACCAACTGGACCCACTGCGGCCCCTGTGGCCCTGCACCAGCAAGACCAGTGCCTCCCAAATCCTCCTCCTCCTCCTCACAGCTAGCATTTACAGAGCACCTACCGTGTGCCAGCAACTGGGCTAAGCACTTTACAAATGGTATCATTCTTGTTCTCATCAGTCCTTCTCAGCCCCAGGACGATGCCAATCTCCACCTGGGCTCTAACCCACCCCACTGGGCCCCAAGGAACACCTGGCCACTGGCCACAAACTCCCCTACAGCCTTAAACTCACCCCTGTCACTTTTAAAGGAGCCTTGGCTCTCCCCTAGAGTGACATCCCTCCACACTCACTGAAGGCCACTCTCTCAGCCTCCTTCCTCACTGCACACAGGCCCAGAAGGAGGGCGGGGCCCACTCCATCTCTCTTCACCACGTCTCCAGGCCACTCCTCTATGGACCAGAAGCATCTCACTGACCTTTCCTCCTCCAAGGTCACTGCAATCCATGCTAGGAGCTTCTTTCCATCCTAAGTTCACCCTGGTCCAGGGCACTGCCCAGCCCAATCTTCTGCCACCCATCTCCAGAGACTCATGCCGATGCCCTTCCTGCCATCTGAACTATGCCTTATCCTCAGTGGCCTTTTCCTCCTCCACTGCATTGCAGCCACATGCTAGCAGGATAGCATGTTAGACCTCACCAGCTCTCCAAGGTGTACCACCTTCAGAATAATTCACCCTGAAACTGTGCCCCCAGCTTCTTATTCTTCCACCCTGCACCCCCACCACCACTTCTCCACTCACAGGAACATTACTCTTCACCCTTGTTATGATCTTGGGTTCCTCAATCCATCCATCTTGTAGATTAACATCCTATAGAAGAAATCAAGTCAGGGCAGAAGAGAGGCTCTAAAGAATAGCATTCTGAAGATGGAAAAGAAAAAGATTCCAATGGGAGGAAAAGGAGGAACTGTTAAGAGAGAGATGGGGCAGATTGGAAGGCTCACTAAATCAACGTAAGAGTTTTTAAAAGATAAGTAAAAAAGATGGTGCCACGGCAGGGAAAGGACAATGAATACCAGCATGGGGCAGCCCTGTAAAATGAGAGTCCACAGTCCCAGAGTTCAGCACGAACTAAGGTTGGCAAGGACGCTAACGGGAACAAAGAGAACTTTTTGACATCAATATTGGACAGAGGAGGTTCACAGAAGAACTGGGACCATGGCTTGAGGTAGAGGAAATGATGATGATGGGCAGGAGACACAGTCAGACTGCTTAGCTTTTACCTTGTTTCTGGGTTGTTGGTTTTTTTCCATTTGTTTTTGCTTTTTTCCTGCCAAGCAGAAGAGTCTTAGACTGAAAAGGACAGAAGAAAAATGGCTGATTTTTACCTGCTTTCCTGTCCATAGTGGGCAGGGCTTGAGAATGGCAGGAGGAAAGATCTTCACTCGTCCAACTTTGTCTGTCAGTCCTCGGTACACGAGCTCCATGTACTGCTCCCGGGTGAAGAAGCAGCCCCGGGTGGTCATCCTGGCACCAGAGACCATGTGATCCTGGATCAATCCAGCCAATGGCTGGCCATCCTGACAGACCAGAGCACAGAGGGCAGGGGAAAGAGAAGAAGACATTTTTAGAGGCAACCTTAAATTTCTAACCACTGGCTGTAAGGCTGTCCAGCAAGTGTGACCTTTGTCTCTCTGTTTCTTCCATAATACTCTATCCTGGACTAGTCTGTTTCCCCCGCCCCCAGCCCCCTCCACCCAAAACAAAAACAAAACACCCTGCAGACAGCCCTTGCACCAGCCTATCACTTCCCCTGAGGAAATCTCCACTCCCAACTCATTGACTCTCTAGGGCTGTCCCACACTGGTGTCACCAGTAAACACTCCGCATGCTCAAAGACAAAATGTGGCCAACGGCTATCAGACGAGCCACAAGCATTCAAAGTATTTTTCATGGGTCTTTCTCCCATTTAACCGAGCTCAGACTAGAAGCTCTCTGAGAGTAGAGACTGTTTCCTTCTTTGTATTTTATGACCCCATCACCTAGTATAGTGCATGGAACATAGTAAGTGCTTAATAAACGTCTGTTGAACCCACACAAATCATTGGCATTTCTAAATATTATTAACAAAGCCCAACAGCAGGAGATAGAAAGAGAAATTCCATTTAAAATTACTGTAGACATTATAAAATACGTGGGAGTCTACTTGACAAAACAAACTCAGGAACTCTGTGACCACAATTACAAAACACTTTTCACACAAATAAAGTCAGATCTAAATAACTGGAAAAATATCCATTGCTCATGGGTAGACCAAACTAATGTGATAACAATGACAATTCTACCTAAATTAATTTACTTATTCAGTGCCATACCAATCAAACTACCAAAAAATTATTTTATAGAGCCAGAAAAAACAATAACAAAATTTATCTGGAAGAATGAATGAAAAAGTCCCGAATATCAAGTGAACTAATGAAAAGAAATGCAAGGGAAGGTGGCCTACAGGTACCAGATCTTAAATTATATTATACAGCAGCAATCATCAAAACTACTTGGTACTGGCTAAGATATAGAGTGGTGGGTCAGTGGAATAGGTCTTGTGTTGCAAGACACAATAGTCAATGACTATACTAAGCTACTATTTGATAAATCCAAAGACTCCAGCTTCTGGGATAAGAAATCACTATTTAACAAAAACTGCTGGGAAAACTGGAGAATAATATGGCAGAAACTGGGCACAGACCAACATCTTACACCTTATATCAAGATAAAGTCAAAATGGGTAGATGATTTAGATATGAAGATTGATACTACAAGTAAACTAGGAGAGCAAGTAATAGTTTACCTATCAGAACTAAGGAGAAGGGAAGAATTCATGACCAAATAAGAGATAGAACATTATGAAATGCAAAATGGATAATTTCAATTACATTAAATTGAAAAGTTTTTGCACAAGCAAAACAATGCAACCAAGATTAAGAGGTAAGCAGAAAACTAAGAAAGAACTTTTACAACCAGTGTCTCTGATAAGGGCCTCATTTCTAAAATATATAGAGAAATGAGTCAAATTTATAAGAATATAAGTCATTCTCCAATTGATAAATGGTCAAAGGATATGAACAGGCAGTTCTTAGATGAAGAAATTAAAGCCATCTTTAGTCATATGAAAAAATGCTCTAAATCACCATTGATTAGAGAAATGCAAATCAAAATGACTTTGAAGCACCACATCACACCTATCAGACTGGCCAACATGACTAAACAAGAAAATGGTGGGATTTTAGTGGGTCTTAAAGGAAGCCGGAGGCCAGCAGACCGAGCAGAGAGGAGTGTTCCAGAGAGCACGCCCAGAGCCAGTAGATGGGGTGTCTTGTTCCTGGAATGGCCAGGAGGCAGGCGTCCCTGGATCTAAGCACAGGTGGGGTGGGTGAAGGTCTGGGGCGAGCATCCTAACAGCACTTCGTCCACAACTTAAATAACTGGATTCTTAGCTAGCCAACGATGACAACAGGTGGGCCTAAACTTCACCTCCGCTTACATGGTGCCGCACGGTTTGCTAGCAGCTTTCTCCCCACCACCTCTTCGCCATAACTATGACCCGAGGAAGGCAGAGAAGACTCTTGTTACCCAGGGAGGGAACAGACTCAGAAATTCTAAGTAGTAAATGGCAGACTCAGGGATTGAATCAGGCCCTCCGACTCCCAGCCCAGTGTTTGGTCCTAGAGCACACCCATTCAGCTCCCTAATCTCTTCGAGCATCATCCTGGCGAACGACTTGGTGGTCTGGGGCCTGCTGGCGGCTCAGCGAGAGGGGCCACAACATGACCTCAGCTGCACCTCCCCGAGTGGTCACAGAACCACTCCTGCGAGCAATTCAGGGCCACAAAGGGTCCAGTGCCAAAGGACTGGATAAGATACGCTCCCCCCGCTGTCCCTTTTTTCTAGTTCTGAAGACTCATTCTTCTCCCCTGTCCAACCTTCAACTCATCTGACTTCCCCATGACCCTTCAAAGTCACAATGAAAAGGCTCTTTTCACATGAAAGAAGGCTATTTTTCAACCTAAGTCTAAATGAGGGCTCATTCTATCAATTCCTCAAACCCTTTTTTGGAGTGTTTTTTTTTTCAGCTTTAAGTATTTTACTTTTTTCCAATCATATATAAAAGTAATTTTTAACCTTTGTTTTTTAAAATTTTGAGTTCCAAATTCTCTTAGACCCTTCTCTAAGATGTTGCTCTTGAGGAGTCCTGGGTCACCCCTCCCAAGCTGCCTGATGAATGCAGGGCCAGAGCAAGGACCTTTCACAGCTTCTGAGAGACCCAGGGAGCTAAAGAGATTCTATGGAGATAGAGAGACCTAGAGAGCAGACATTTGGAACTGCTCACCTCAGGGGAAGCTGGGGGAGATGTAGGAGCATGCTTTCTACTTATCCACAGAAATACACAGACTTATACATATAAATATATACATACATACACATACGTGTGTGTGTGTGTTTGTACACGCTTGCATATAACTCCATACTGTTTACCTCAAGGTAGTGTTTTTAGCTCTTCTGGTGTGAGAAATCATGAAGGGTTTTTGTTCTATGTGTTTCTGTATGTGCGTGTGTGCGCGCGCGCACACGCACACACACACACACTTCTACCACAAAGTCTGAATCGAGAACAGTCCCTTGGAAGCTCTACGGGGTACCTAAGCTAGAGAAGAGCAGAGGCTAGGACTAAGGATATCAAATCATGTAGTCCTGCTGTGTTCCTGGAGCTGCCCAGAAGAATGTCTGGTGTCCAAGGTGGCTCCCAGGTACCAGTCACCTTCTCCCTGGGCCTGGTCTTCTATTCCTGTACTAGGAGAAAGCTGGCCTGGGCGGCCCCAAGCTCCAAGGCCACCTGTGACACAGGTCCTTTCGGCCCCCCTCCCTCCCTCCCAGCTTATCCCTACTCATCTGGCACTGACCTTAGGTATAATTATTGACGTACGTGCCGTCTCTCTCGAGGACAAGGACTATTTCTGCTTTACCCTTGAATCTCCAGAGCCTCGCCCAGTGCCCAAGACACCATGAACACTTCTCCGCTGCATACCCACGAAGCTAACCTACCTTGGGCACCAGGTACTGCTCATCAGTACAGGCCAGGACGCAGGCCTCGGCCCGGCCAAGCTCGCTCTGGGGGAAGTGGGCGTTCATCTCGTCTCCGTCAAAGTCGGCGTTGTACGCCTTGCAGTTGGCATAGTGGAGGCGCAGGACTTTCTCTGAAGGCAAGATCCTGGCTCGGTGGGCCTGGATGGAGGGTCTGTGTAGGGTGGGCTGGCGGTTCAGCAGGAGAACATCCCCGTTCTTCACATGACGACACACCTAAATAGAATACAGAAGTGCGTGACAGGGACAGGGTGAGGCCCGCTGGCATCTGCGGCTCAAGAAGGTAAACGTAGCATATGGGCTGTAGGGAGGACGTCCCTTGCAGCATGCATCCTGCTGAACGGATTTCTGTAAACTAAAATGATTAGTCCATCTCATCATCCTCTTTTAATTTCCGTGTGTGTTTTAGAATGCTGCTGTTCAGTCATTTCAGTTGTGTCCGCCTCTTCATGAGGTCACACATGTATGTGACCGTCCACGTGTGTACTCACATATGCCCCCCGTAAAGTTCCCACCTAAGACCACCCAGCCCTTCCACCGTGCCTTCTGGAATGCCCGTTCCATGGTCAACAAACTTCCCTTCAGCCTAAATCTTTCCTCTCTCACTCCTTCCACCTACTAGCTCTTACTGAAACCCAGACCCTCACCTTAGACAGCCTCCTTGGCCTCCCTTTCCAGTACTGGCCACACCCTCATTCCCTTCAAGCTCACTGGTCAAGGCCTACTGCCAGGTCCAGGTTCTGCCCCTTCCTCTGTCGCTCAGTTACCTCTCTTCTGATGAGGTTCGTGCTATTCCTATCAACCACCTAATCAAAACACTGGTAGCTGTTGTCTCCAGAGCCCAAGGGCAGCCCCCTTCCTTCCTCAAGGAGTTTGACACCTGGCTTTTCATTTTTCTCACCTCTCCAACTCCTGCCTTCATACTAGGGGACGTCAACAAACACACTGAATCTCCCTCAAATACCTTAACCACTCAGGTCCTCAACCTACCCACCTCCCGTCAGCTACTCCTCCACCCTACTCAGCCACACACAAAACAGTCAAACCTTTGTGGTCTCAGAAAGAGAAGAGGCTGCAGAGGAGTGGCTGAGGAGAGGGTAAAGGCTGAAAAGGGGAGGAAAGGAAGGAGGATGGGAGAGACACGGGCTTACTATAGGCAGTGGGGAAGCTGTTGGTAGATAGGGAGAGACTGGAGACGAGTTTAAGAATTGGAATGATAAGCACGGAGCAAGGTACTGGAGAGGGTGGGATGGAATGGGAATCCTTGTACATGTGGAGAGACCAACCTCGGCAAGGACGTCTCATTATGCGGCAGAAGCCATCTGGGCGAAGTGATGTAAGGAGGAGGGCGGAAGAGGGAGCTCTCAGCAAGGGGCCTCAAATTTTTCAGGGACACTGGGGCAAGATTTTCAGTTGAAAAGCTATAGGCTGGGCAAGGGGAGTTCTCGTTTCTTCCCTTACTGAAGGCAAGTCCCCAGGATGCGATTTAGGGATCAGAATACAGAACGAGAGGCCCGGCTTCCGTGCAAGTAGAAAGACTGAAATGCGGGCAGTTGAGTTCAGCGGATATAGGTCAGTGTCCATAGGCGGTTTTCTTTGGTCCAGAGAGGCTGGAGCGTACAATAGCTTTTTTTCTGTGCCTGATTCAATTTTTCTTGGTTATTTTCAACCTCAGAAGCCAGCAGGCAGCTCTGAAAATCACCTTCCATAAAGGTCAGCCCTCTGTGCTCCCTGGAACTCACCCATGGGAATGACATAATTAGCTAAAAATGTTTGGGTTTCCTAGGAGACTCGGGCTCCACAAATTCCCATGAGCCCTGGCCAGGGCTTTGGAAGCTCAAGTGCGTCACTCGGCCTGAGATGACCTAGAAGGTCTGGATTCTTAGCTTCTCAGGAGAGAAATGCTCAGTACTATGGCCCTAAAACGTAAAATCTAAGCACAGCCCAGGATCTTGCTTTCATGGAAACAGAGATAGAATCACAGCTAAACAAACACTCGGCAGCTGGGAATTACAACGGGAAAACACGCAGGCCAAACGAGTCTGCAGCTACAAAGCCCAACAGGAGTTAGAGATTGACAGGGCAAGGGTCAAAGTGCTCACAGCAGAACAGTTCACAGGCTCCAGTGGCTGACCATCTGTGATGGGTCATGGGTGAAGAGGTGATGGGCCACTTTTCCCTTTGTTTACTAAATTCCATTCCATTCCAAATTCCACCTGTGCAAAGGAATTACCCCAACCAACCCCAGCATCAGAAGCTGCCATCCCTCCCAGCCTCGCCAGTTAACGTCACGGATCCCCCCCCACCCCGAGATCTTTAACCAGCTAAACCCTCCCACTCTGCTCCATCCAGGGACCTGCATACCACAAACAGGGATGAGACCTGTATAAGGCCCTCCCAGGTGAGGAAATGCAGGAGAAAACTTCTCAAACGTAGTCCTAGAGAGTGGTCTGGAGCAGCGGAGTCAAGCTCAAACAGAAATGGATCCCTGCTGGCCAGAGACATGTAGAAAACCACAAATTAACATTATCTGTGTTATGCTGTATTTTTCTTTACTTTGCTCAATGTCTACCAATGATATTTAAGTCTGGTTCATTCCATACTGGGGAGATGCAAGTCTAACAGCTCTGGCCTAGAGCACTGAGAGATTACAGAGGTTACAAAGGTTACATAGCCTTGAATTCAGACTTTCTTGAGTCTGAAGCCAACTTTCCACCTTCTAGGCCATGCTGCCTTTCACATTTTGTTGTTGTTTTTCAGTCCTTTCAGTCACGCCTGACTCTTCATGACCTTTTTGGGGTTTTCTTGGCAAAGACTCTGGAGTGGTTGGCCATTTCCTTCACCAGCTCATTTTACAGGTGAGGAAACTGAGGCAAACAGGGTGAAGTGACTTGCCCAGTCACACAGCTAGGAAGTATCTAAGGCCAGATTTGAACTCAGGTCCTGCTGACCCCAGGCCCGGCTCTCTATCAACTGCACCACCTAGTGTTCTATATGCCTTTCACATAGAAGGAGCTTAATATATAACTGGTGAACTGAACTGAATTGAACAGCTCCTGCCAGCCACACTGGGCACCTCCATCACCATCCATGTCAATCTGACCTCTCCAAGACAAGTACACCACACTCTCTAACCTGCATTTGTTAAGCGCCTACCACATGCCAGGCACTGTGCTCAGTGCTAGATAAACACAACCAAAAAGCAAACTATCTCTGTCCTCATGAAGCTCTATCCTCTATTCCCTTTCTCTGCTCCTGCTCCCTGTTCCAACACTATCCTCACAGCTTCCCTTATAATAAGGCTGAGCTCACTCCTCCCTCTAAGCCAGAAACTCTTAAACTGGGCATCTGTGAACTTCTTCTTTCTTTTTTAATATTCTGATAACTGTGTTTTAATACGCTCAGTTTCCTTTGTAACCCAATGTATTTCATCTTATGTTTGTAAGTATTTACTGAGTTCCCACAACATGCCCAGGACTGGGCTAGGCCCTGGTGAAGATACAAAAGCAAGTACAACCAGGTGCCAAGTGTCACGGCAGTCCTGATCACAAGGGAGGCAGGAGATCAGAGAAGGCAAAGAACATGGATAGTTCTAGAAAACTTGATGGAAGAGGTGGCACTGGAAGCTAGATGTGTTTACATCTACTTTTTCTCCTCCCCCACCCCACCTCTTGTACTAACTGAGTGCAAAAAGCACAGTTCTCCTCTACCCCACAGATCACAGAGAGCTCCCCATGGAGCAACATGGCCAGGGAAAGAAAAACCAAAGACAACAATGGTGTTTCAGCAGCAGCCTGCCAGGATGACTAAAACCCTGGAACGGAGTGGGGGCCTAGGGAAAGAGGTGGTGTGGTGGCAGACTAAACTCAGATGGTACTTACAACTTTTGCTCCTTGGGGCCTGGGGGCGCCAGTGGCAGGGGTGAGGAGCTGCTTGGCCACAGCTTCCCTCTGGGTCACGTCAGTGGGGCTGAGAGCTGTGCGGCTGCCATCCTCACTGATGACCATTGAGGCTCCAGGGTGCACACTGGGGCCGTTGATAACTGCTTGCCTCAGCTCCTGGACATTCCATGGAGTCACTGGTTGAGGGTAGGTCAGTTTTGTGGCAAACACCTGAAAATAGATACAAGACTTATGGCATCGGAGGAGGAGCTAAAAAATCCTTTACCTGTTGCCATCCCCCTTGGCACCCTCCATCCCTGCACTTAGCTGTGTGCGTGGCATGTTTTTTCAAACCAGACCTGTTATTTTATTAGCATAGGGAACATCCAGTTGAGGAAACTCCCTATACCAATATAAATTAGAGGCACCTTGGAGCAGTGGATGGAGGGGTGAACTTGGAGTTAGGAAGACCTGGGTTCAAATCCTACCTCAGACACTTACTAGTGGTGACCCATGGCAAATCAGCTCCTCTCTTGGTACAGAACAGGTGCTAATCTGCATTGGTTGAATTCCTCCCTCGAGCAAGGAAGTCACAGGTCCGGTCCAAAGACAATAATCACCCCATGTGCCTAGCACCCTCAGGCTGGCAAGGTGCTTCTTATACACAATTGCACTGGAACACCACCACAACTCTGAGGGAGCTACTTGTAGGGACTGAGCTCAGCTGTTGCATAGGAGGAAATTGAGGCTCTCAGAGATGAAAAGGCTTGACTGTGGTCACAGAGCCAGCATGGGCCTGAGGTAGGATGTGACATGAGGCCTCCTTGACTTCATGTCCAGCGTCTTATCTACGATCCCACACAAGACGTTGTACCAAACCCGTCCTCTGTGACACTCAGCATCATTCAGGCCCCTGGGGGGGTGGCTGCCGAGCTGGCCCAAAGTCAAGGCCTTGCTCCAGAGAGCCATGGACCAGACTCAGGGATGGATCCCTGTGGCTCTGGACTGTCTCCTTACTCAACTGTCTGACTTTCTCCTGCAGAGGATGCCTTTCCCCAGGGGTGTGGCTGGCATGGGGCCACGAATTTTCTGGCTTAACTCTCCTGAGTTTCCCCTGCGGAGCCTAAGCATCCTCTGGAGAGATGAGGGAGCTGGCATCCAAGGGGCAATCTGAGGGCTTCAGCTCTGCTCATTATCAGCACTCCACAAATCCCAGAGAGTAAACATGGAAGGGAGGAAATAAAGCTCTCCACAGAGGGAATTAAACTGTCATCTTACTAGTGACCCAAAAGTAGAGTGAAACCAAAGTCCAATGGCAGGCAACTGTTAATGACTAATGGCACTAACTTTACAAAATGCTACTGAATAGAGAGTTAGCAGAAAGAGGAAACAGTTGGCCAGACCCCCTAGGGCAGCTCCTGGGGAGGAGCTGAGGGGCCACTCCCTTGTGCCTGTCTCTGGGCCTCTCTGGCATAGCACAGAGCACAAGGCACTGCCTTGGGAGTTAAGGTGATCTGGGTTCAAATCCTATCTCCGGTATTTCCTATCGATGGGCCCCTGTGTAAATCCCTTAACCTCCCTGGGTCTCTGTTTCCACATCTGTAAAATGGCGGGGGTGGGGGGGTGGACTAGATGGCCTCTCGGGTCCCTTGGGACCTTTGGCAGGTCATGTATCTGTTTCTTTATCTGTAAAATAATGGGGTTCAACTAGGGAATGAGCTACGCAGCCTAGGGCAAGTGACTGCATCGACATCGACATGGCCTTCCCATGGTAAGTCAGGAGGCTTGGAACAGGCAACCTCAAGGACCCCTTCCAGCTCTGCCCTCCAGGACCTGGAAAAGAACTGGGCCTGAGGCTTGGCCCCAGGGACTGACACGCCTGACCCCGCCAAGTTCACAGGGTCACTGTGAAGGCCAGATGAAGGAAAAGAGGGAACCCAATGCATCACCACTGAAAGCACTCGCCCTCTGGACAGGGCAGCGTCACATGCTTGGTGCAGATGAGGACATGCATTTGTGAAGCACCTGCTATGACCAGAAGCCAGAAAAATAAAGAAATAAGTGAGAAGTGCACAATTATACCAGTTCTTTCCAGCTGGACCTTGGTGCATTTGGGCTCTGGCAGCAAAGTGAGTAACAGTAATAACTGATATATATTGACAGCGTCGAAGTTTGCAAAGCTTCTCACAAACACAATCTCATCTGAGTGTAATCACCCCATGAGGGAGCTATTAATGCCCCCATTTTACGGATGAGGAAGGCTCAGAGGTGAGAAAGAGCCAGCGGCACACCTGGACACCTTCTGATTCCCAAGCCTACACGCCATCCACCAGAGCAGGGCAGGCCGCCACAGGTGGCTCTGACCTCTTTTTAGCAACGCGCAGAGAAGCGTGGGCAGGTATCCTCTAGGAGACAGTGACGGACCGTGGGAAAGGAGGAGTTAAGAGGGACAAGCTTGTCACAACCAGCTAAAAAGCCCTTGGATGAGGACCATCTGCACAGAAGTGCGCAAACACTCAGACTTCCGTGGCCTACTGAGGCCCACCCTCCCAGACTGCTGGCTCCCAGCAGCCCTGCAGCCCCCTTGACTCACCATGGGGATCCCAATTTCGTTGGTGTTGATGTACATGTCTGGGCAGATGACTGAGCGAGCAGCATAGTCAACACGCTTCCCCATCATGTGCTTCCGAAACAAGCCTTCCTTCTTCTCCAGGATCTGTTGTGGTGAGGGAATCAAAGGAAACAGATGAGGCTCGGGCAGCTGTCTCACGGTATGTGGGCCTACGTGGGCTCCTCATCCTTGCTGCTCACCTGTCGGATGCCAGGGTACTTCTCCATCATTAACTTGTCCATATCGCTGTCAAACACAATATTGACGTGGCTCTGAAGACGGATCCAAATGCCATAAAGTTTCTCTGTGAGAGACTGGCCTGGAATCATGGCAAGAAAGGAGCGGTCCATTGGAACAGAAGACTCTGTCTCCTGGGGGGAAACATCAAAGAGAGCAAGTGGGACCACAAGCCTGAGCCCCCCAAGACAGAGGACCTGGCCCTCCCCTTCCCCCAAATGTTAAGAGCCACAGTGCGCCCCAGACTTTCCAAAGCTTCTAGGATGTTTCCAGCTTGCTATGACTTAAGGCCTTAAACACAGACCTGAACAAAGTTGGCCTCCTAACGTTAAAGTGAAGCTGGGAGATGAACAGAATTTTAGAAAAGTTAGACATGCTAGACCTCTGGAAAAAATTGAATGGGAACAGAAAGGAGTATACCTTTTATTCAACTCTACATGGCACCTTCACAAAAACTGATCATGTGGCATAAAAACCACACAACCAAATGAAGAAAAGAAATATTAAATGCATCCTTTTCAGACCATAATAAAATAAAAATTATATTCAATAAAAGACTGTGAAAATATAGATTAAAAATTAATTGGAAACTAAATAATCTAATCCTAAAGAATGAGTGAGTCAAAGAAGAAATCACAGAAACAATCAATAATTGCATTAAAGAGAATGACAACAATGAGATAACATATGAAAATTTATGGGTTGCAGCCAAAGCAGTACTTAGTACTCTAAACACTTACATTAATAAAACATTGAAAGAGGAGATCAATGAATTAGGCATGCAACTAAAAAAACTAGAAAAAGAACAGATAAAAAATTCCCAATTAAACACTAAATTAGAAATCCTGAAAAACTAAAAGTGATTAATAAAATTGAAAGCAAAAAACCATTGAATTAATAATTAAAAGCTGGAGCTGGATTTTAATGAAGAAAAAAATAACACAGATAAACCACTGGCTAATTTAATTTTTTTAAAAAAAGAAAGAAAACCAAATGACCTTAACAAAAATGAAAAAGGTGAATTCCCAACCAATGAAGATGAAATTAAAGCGATTAGGAGCTACTTTATATGCCAATTATATGCCAATAAATCTGACAATCTAAGTGAAATGGATGAATATTTATAAAAATATAAACTGCCCAGATTAGCAGAAAAGAAAATAGAATACTTAAATAACACCATCTTGGAAAAAAGAAACTGAACAAGCCATCAATGAGCTCTCTAAGAAAAAATCTTCAGGACCAGATGGATTCACAAGTAAATTCTACCAAACATTTAAAGAACAATTAATTCCGATATTATATAAACTATTTGGAAAAATAGGTGAAAAAGGAGTGAAAAAAGGAGACCAAATTCCTTTTATGATACAAATTATGCTGATACCTAAACTAGGAATAGCAAAAACAAAAGAAAACTACAGACTAATTTCCCTAATGAATATTGATACAAAAATTTTAAATAAAATACTAGCAAGGAGATTATAGCAATGTATCACAAAGCTCATACATGATGAACAGGTGAGATTTATACCAGGAATGCAGGGCTGGTTTAATATTAGGAAAACTATCAGCATAATTGACCATATTAATAACAAAACCAACAAAAATCATATGATTATCAAAAGAAACAGAAAAATCTTCTGACAAAATACAACACCCATTCCTATTAAAAACACTAGAAAGCATAGGAATAAATGGAGTTTCCCTCAAAATGGTAAGTGGTGTCTATCTAAAACCATCAGCCAGCATTATCTGCAATGGGGGATAAGCTAGAAGCCATCCCAGTGAGATCAGGGGTGAAACAAGGATGCCTATTATCACCACCATTATTCAATATTGTTCTGAAAGAAACTGAAGGAATTAGAATAGGCAATGAGGAAATTAAACTATCACTCTTTGCAGATAATATGATGGTATACTGAGAGAATCTTAGAGAACAACTAAATAACTAGTTGATATAATTAATAAATTTAGCAAAGCTGTAAGATATAAAATAAACCCACACAAATCAACATTTCTATATATTACCAACAAAGTTCTGCAGCAAGAGACAGAAAAATTCCATTTAAAATAACTGTAGATGATATAAAACATTTGGGAGTCTACTACTCCCAAATACTACCCAAGTACTACTACTACTACTACTACTACTACTACTACTACTGCCAAGACAAACCCAGGAACTACATGAACACAAATAAAGTCAGAACTGAATATTTGGAAAAACATTAATCACTCATGGGTAGTCTAAGCCAATATAATAAAAAATGACAATTCTACCTAAATTAATTTATTTATTCAGTGCCATACCAAACTGCCAAAAAATTATTTTACAGAGCTAGAAAAAATAACAAAATTCATCTGGAAGAACAAAAGGTCAAGGATATTCAGGGAATTCATGGAAAACAAAATGTGAAGGAAGGCGGCCTAGACGTACTAAATCTCAAATTGTATTTAAAGTGGTAATCATCAAAACAATCTGATACTGGCTAAGAAACGGAGTGGTAGATTAGTGGAATAGATTAGGTCCATAATACAGAGTAGTAAAAGACCACAGTAATCCAATGTTTGATAAATCCAAAGATTCAAGCTTTTGGGACAAGAACTCACTATCTGACAAAAATTGCTGAGATAACTGGAAAGCAGTTTGACAAAAACTAGTTATAGACCAACATCTTACACTGTGAACCAAGATAAAGTCAAAATGTCAAAGTCTAAATAAGGAAATTAGGGGAGAATGTAAAAATGTGCCTGTCAGATTTATGGATAACAGAAGAGTTTATGACTAAATAAGAGAAAGACAGCATTATGGGAAGTAAAACAGATAATTTTGATTACATGAAATTAAAAGGTTCTTTGCACAAACAAAACTAATGCAGCCGAAATTAGAAGGAAAGCAGGAAACTCAGAAAACATTTTCACAGCAAGTTTCTCTGATAAAGACCTCATTTCTCAAATATGTAGGGAACTGAGCCAAATTTATAAAAATAAGAACCATTCCCCAGTTGATAAATGGTTAAAGGATATGAAGAGGCAGTTTTTAGAAGAAGAAATAACAGCTATCTATAGTCACATGAAAAAATGCTCTAAATCACCTTTGACTAGAGAAATGCTCACATCTATCAAATAAGCTAACATGACATAAATGGAAAATGACAAATGCTGGAGGGGATGTAGAAAAATCGGGACACTAATGCATTGTTGGTGGAGTTGCGAACTACCCTCAACCATTCTGGACAACAATTTGGAACTGGGCTATAAAACTGGGCGAACCCTTTGACCCAGCAATACTACTACTAGGTCTATATCCCAAAGAGATCAAAGAAAAGGAAAAAGGATTTATTTGTTCAAAAATATTTATAGCAACTCTTTTTGTGCTGGCAAAGAATTAGAAATTGAAGGGATGCCCATTCATTGGGGAACAGCTGAACAGGTTGTGGTATATGATTATGATGGAATACTATTGTGCTATAAGAAATGACGAGCAGGATGGTTTCAGGAAAACCAAAGGAAGACTTATACAAACTCACGCAAAGCGAAATGAACAGAAACAGAACTACTGCACAGTGACATCAGTATTTTTAAGGATAAACTGTGAAAGATTTAGCTGTTCTAATTATGATAATGATCCAAGGCAACTCCAAAGGATCCATGATGAAAAAATCTCCAGAGAACTGATGAACTCTGAACACAAATTGAAACATACTTTTTTAACTTTATTTTTATTTTATTTTGTTTGTGTTTTCTTTTGCAATATGGCTAATACAGAAATGTCTTGTATGACTTCACATGTACAATCAACATCAAATTGCCTTTTCAAGGGAGGGAGGGACTGGAGGGAAGAAGAGGAACTCAAAATTTTAAAAAATTATTGTTAAAAATTTTTTACGTGTAATTGGGAAATATTTAACATACTAAAAATAATTTTTAAAAATACTTTGAGTTCAAATCCTGCCTCAGATGCTTACTAGCTCTGTGAGCTGGGAGTCCATGAAGACTGTGAGCTGCCTGAGAGCAGGGCTGGTTTTCTTTGCTTTGGTTTAGCTCATTTGTCTATCTTCAACGCTTCTCAATGTGTCTAGTACATAGTAGGCACTTAATGAATGATAGCTGACTATCTGACCTTGGGCAAGTCACTTAACCTCCCCTCAACTCTGAAATGGGTATGATAACAGTACCTACCTCCCAGGGTTGTAGTGAGGATCAAATGAGATCTTATTTGGAAAGTGTTTTGCGCCATCTCTGACATGTGCTATCTGTGTGACCTTGGACAGGTCACTGAAAGAACTAAGCAAAGTGACCTGTGAGGCCCCTTCGGCTCCAAATCTAGTAACATAAACGCTGTGAGGATACACCGAGTTCTGCCTAATGTCAAAACCCAGGAAGCTGCAGTGTGAAGGCCAGGGCATATTAAAAGGTGCTTCATCCACCTGAGCAGCGTCTTAGCTCCTCCTACACCCCTTCAGACAGGAGCTCAACTGCATGCTGTCCTACAGCACCACCTAGCAACATCAGGAGGAAAAGCTGGTCATCTGAGTGAGGGGAGGAGAGGGGCAGAGCTGGACTGTGGCAGAGGCGAGCAGAGTCACTTGATGAAATATGGAGGGAGGTGGTCCCTCAGTATCTGAAGGACAGAGGAGAGCAAGAACTGGGACCTCATTAATGGACACCTAGACATCCCAGGAGCAAGAGAAAGCATGCTCCCCATTATTTACTCAATCAGTAAGTATTCGTTAAGCACCTCCTATCTCACTGGGGAGAGTCTCCACGGGGCTCTGTCGGGGAAGAGAGGGAGAAGGCTGCTGCAAAGGTCTGAGAATCACCCATCTACCAGGAATAATGTTAGTATGCCATTTGTTTTCTGGACAGGACCCGTGAATTGATAAGTATGGAGGGGCTCCCAGGGAAGAATTCCTTCTACCAATGCAGATTATACAATTTGGTCACAGACAATTTAAGAGGTTAAGTGACTTGTCCAGGGTCCCACAGCCTGTATATATTAGAAGCTGCACTTGAACCCAGTACACAAATGCACCATTTCTCTGTATAAAAGGGAAGGGATATGGGGGTGGGGGGAGTGTCTAGTTAGTGAAGGTGCTAAGAACCTTAATGGTGAGGACAGCAAAAGAAGCAA